CAAATATATTCAATGCAGTCAGTTTAACTCTGCCACCAAAACAAGACAAAGACTCATCAAGGAAAAAGAACTACAGACCAATATCCCCAATGAATATAAATGCAAACATCCTTAGTAAAATATTGCAAACCCATTCAAAAACACCTTAAGAGGATAGTATACCATGATCAAGTGGTTTTCATCCCAGGGAATGCAAGGTTGATTCAATATACTCAAATCAATAAATACAATTCACCACATAAACAGAATTAAGGATAAGAATCATATGATCATCTCAATATATGAAAGCAAAGGCGTTTGACAAAATCCTGCACCCATTCATGTTAAAAACATTGGATAGATCGTAGCCAACTTTTTCTTCTATCAGACGCAGTGTCTCTGATTTGATATCTAGGTCCTTGATCCATTTTGAAGAAAAAGTTGGCTACGATCTACATACTGTGGGGTCGGGCTCCAAATTCCTTAATAGGACGCCCATAGCCCAAGAGTTAATAACAAGAATAAATAAATGGGACTTACTTAAACTAAAAAGTTTTTTCTCAGTAAGAGAAACAATAAGAGAGGTAAATAGAGAGCCTACATCCTGGGAACAAATTTTTACCCCTCACACTTCAGATAGAGCCCTAATATCCAGAATATACAAAGAACTCAACAAATTAAACAATAAGACAACAAATAACCCAATCAACAAATGGGCCAAGGACCTGAACAGACACTTCACAGAGGAGGACATACAGTCAATCAACAAGTACATGAAAAAATGCTCACCATCTCTAGCAGTCAGAGAAATGCAAATCAAAACCACCCTAAGATACCATCTCACTCCAGTAAGATTGGCAGCCATTATGAAGTCAAACAACAATAAGTGTTGGCGAGGATGTGGGGAAAAGAGTACACTTGTACACTGCTGATGGGACTGCAAATTGGTAAGGCCAATTTGGAAAGCAGTATGGAGATACCTGGGAAGGCTGGGAATGGATCCACCATTTGACCCAGCTATCGTCCTCCTCGGACTATTCCCTGAGGATCTTAAAAGAGCTTACTATAGGGATACTGCCACATCAATGATCATAGCGGCACAATTCACAATAGCTAGACTGTGGAACCAACCTAGATGCCCTTCAATAGATGAATGGATAAGAAAATGTGGCATCTATACACAATGGAGTACCACACAGCACTAAAAAATGACAAAAATCATAGAATTTGCTGGGAAATGGATGGCATTAGAGCAGATTATGCTAAGCGAAGCTAGCCAATCCTTAAAAAACAAATGCCAAATGTCTTCTTTGATATAAAGAGAACAACTAAGAACACAACAGGGAGGAAGAGCATGAGGAAAAGATTAACATTAAACAAAGACGAGTGGGGGGAGAGAAAGGGAGAGAGAAGGGAAAGCATATGGAAATGGTAGGAGACCCTCAATGTTACACAAAATTACATAGAAGAGGTTGTGAGGGAAAGGGGGGGGGAAACAAGGGAGAGAATTGAACAACAGCAGATGAGGTAGAGAGGGAAGATGGGAGGGGAGGGGAGGGGGGATAGTAGGGGATAGGAAAGGTAGCAGAATACAACAGTCACTAATATCCCATTATGTAAAAATGTGAGTGTGTAACCGATGTGATTCTGCAATTTGTATTTGGGGTAAAAATGGGAGTTCATACCCAATTGAGTCAAATGTATGAAGGATGATATATCATGAGCTTTGTAATGTTTTGAACAACCAATAAAAAAAAAACATTGGATAAACTAGGGAGAGAAGGAACTTACCTCAATATTATAGAGGATAAATACGAGATGCCCAAAGCCAACATCATACTGAATGAAGAAAATCTGAAAGCATTTTCTCTAAAAGCAGGAATAAGACAAAGATGACCACTCTCACTAATTCCATTCAATATAGTCCTTGAAGCATCAGGCAAAGCAACTAGGCAAGAAAAAGAAATTAAAGGGATACAAATAGAAAAGAAGTCAATTTATTTCTGTTTGCTTATGACATGATCCTATATGTAGAAGACCCAAAAATCTCCATTAGAAGACTTCTATAGCTGATATACTAATTCAGCAAAGTATAGGATACAAGATCAACATTCATAAACAAATAGCTTTCCTACACTCAAATAGTAAATCTGTAGAGAAAGAAATAAGGTAAACTATACTGTTCTCAATATCTTTTGGAAAAAAAAAACGAATAAATCTAAACAAGGAAGTGAAATGTCTCTACACAGAAAACTGAAGAAAGAAATTTAATTCCTTAGAAGATGAAAAGGCCAAAGATCTCCCATGTTCTTGGATAGGCAGAATTAATATTGTTAAAATTATTATATTATCAAAAGCATTATAGAGATTCAATGTATTCCCCATCAAAATATCAATGGCATTCTTCAGAGAACTGGAAAAAGTCCTAAAATTTATTTGGAAGAATTAGAGACCCAATTCTGAGCAAGAAGAATGATGTTAGAAGCATCACAATACCTGATCTCAAATTATACTACACATTTATAGTAGCAAAAATAACATGGTATTGGCATTAAAAAAGACATGAATACCAATGGAAGAGAATGGAAGACACAAAGACAAATCCACATGGTTATAGTCATCTGATATTTGACAAAGGTGCCAAAAACATGACAGAGAAAAAGATAGCCTTTTTAACATGGCTCCGGGAAAACTAGATATCCATATGTAGAAGAATGAAACTAGAGCCCTATCTCTCACCCTGAACAAAATGTAATAAAAGTGGATCAAAGACTTAGTAATTAGACCAGAAACCCTGCAACTTATATAAGAAAACATAGGTTGATATTCCAACATACTGGCACAGTCACCAACTCCCTTAACAAGACCCCTAAAGCTCAAACTCAAGCAATAAAACTAAGAATCAATAATGGTATCAAATTAAAAAGCTCTGCACAGCAAAGAAAATGATTTCAAGAGTGAAGAGAGAGCCTACAGAATGGGATAGAAAAATCTTTGCCAGCTATTCCTCTAACTGGAGATTAATATCCAGAATATATAAAGAACTCTAAAAAAACTTAATACCACAAAAATAAATCACCCAGTAAATAAATGTACAAAAGAACTAACGAGACATTTCAAGGAAGAAGAAACACCAATCGTCAACAAATATATGAAAAAATGTTCAACATCCCTGACAATCAGGGAAATGAAAATCAAAACTACATTAAGAGTTTATCTCACTGTAGTCAGAATGTAATTATTAAGAATACAAATATTCACAAATATTGGCAAGGATGTGAGGGAAAAAGTACACTCATACATTATCAGTGGGTCTGCAAATTAGTACCACCACTCTGGAAATCAGTATGGAAATTCCTTAGAAAACTAGGAATAGAATCACCATATGACTCAGCTTTCCCACTCCTTGGTACTTATCCAAATGAACTAAAAACAGCATATTAGAGTGATACAGGCACATCAACGTTCATAGCAACACATTCAATATATCCAAGTTATGGAATGTGCCTAGCTATCTCTCATTAGATAAATGAATTAAGAAAATATTGTATATGTACACAACAGAGTTTTACTCAGTCATACAGAAGATGAAATTATGACATTTTCCAGTAAATACGTGGAACTGAGAAACATCATGCTAAGTGAAATCAGCAAGACTCACAAAGCCAAGGGTTGAATGTGTTCTCTCATGCGAAAACTGGAACAAATTAAGGGGAAAAATGTGGGTGCAGCAGATCTTATGAAAATAGAGGGAAGATCAGTAGGGTAGAGGAAAAAGAGTGAGGAGGAAAGAGAAGGAATGGAAAGGGGAGGAAATGCAGAATGAATTTGACAAAATTAAGTTATGTACATATATAAATACACTACAGTGAATTCTACCGTTGGGGATATCTATAAAGCACCAATTAAAAAAACAATAAATAGAAAGAAGATCAGTAGACTAAGGAAGAGGAATTGCAGAAGGAAAGAGGAAGCACTGGGGACTGAATTGGAGCAAATTAAATTCCATGCATGTATGATTATGTTAAAATGAACCCTATTATTTTTTAACAATACTTTTTTTTTTTTGTCCTGGGGACTGAATACAAGGGTACTTTATCACTTAGTCACATCCTCAGCCCATTTTATTTTTTTATTTTGAGATAGAGTCATGCTAAGTTTCCCAGGCTGGCCTCAAACTTGCAGTGATATAGGCACATCCTGGTTCAGCCTCTTGAGTCCCTGGGATGTGCCACCATGCCCAGCCTGAACCCTACTATTATGTGTAACTATAAGGCACTAAAAAAGCATTTTAAAAAGAAAAATAATAATAATAGAGTGGAGATCAGTAGAGTACAGCAAGTGGATCAGAGGGAGGGAGGAAGGGAAGGAAGGAGAAGGTAAAGAGGAATAAGATTGATCAAATTTTGTTATATGATTGTATACATATGGCATAAAGAATATTACTATAATGTATAATTAGTATACACGAATAATATGGTTTTAAAAAGAAAATTGTGTATATCACAATATCTCTAGCACTTTTTTATCATTTGGGAAAAATGGAGTTGGACAAGATGCTTTCCAAAATGCTTGACTGTAATTAAATTATAGGAGTCTATCTGATTGATTAAAAGGTTTACTTTGGCTCAGTCTTGAAGGTTCAGTTCAAGATTGGGTGACACCATTGCTTTGGGCCTTAGGTGGGCATGCAGGAAGGCAATGGTGGGGAACATTGTTCATTCATAATAGGATGCAAAAAAGAAAAAGGAAAAGACCAGGATCCCACAATCTCCTTCCAGGGCATACCTCCAGGGACATACCTCCAGTTAGGCTCCATTAATATTAATTATTATTATTATTATTATTTTAATAATATATATCCTAATGGTTCTACCACCTCCCAGTACTGCTACCTTGGGACCAAGCTCTTAAAACATGGACCTCAGGGGAATAGTCAAGATCCAAACTATAGACCAATAACGTGTTTTTTGAATTATTAAATGCATTCTCAAGTATGAAAATGAGCTTGGGTTTAGTACTTGCTGTGCCAAACACAGTAGATATGCCTTCCATAATGGTCTTGTGGACATCGGGATGAGAAAGGACAAATGCAAGCGTCCAAAACGCAACCTGAAAAAGAAAAACATATGTCAAAATTAGACTTCTTTGAAAGCAAACAAAAGCTACGAACAAAAGAAATTAGGATAATGTCTAAATTAACCTTAAAAGCATGTTAGAAAAGAGCATCATTGAAGATGACTAGAATTTATGAACTGAAGAGGTGTCATATATCTTCTAGATGTCAAACTTACCAATTTATTCTGTCCTTATGGTTTAATCTATATATTGTTTATATAGATTCAAATATGTTCACTAAAAATAGAAAAAGTGAAATTCCTTTTTACTAATAAGTAACAAAATATTATATAGGCATGCATTAAATATTCAGAAGCAACAAATCATGACATTTAAAAATGTTAATAGAAAACAAAAACAATTTTAAAGATTAAATGAGCCTAAAATACAAACAAATTAGTAAATTTTATTTTTTGCAAACAAAACAGTAATTTAAAATAAGCCCAGGAATCCATATCTAAAATCTTATAAACTAAATGATGATAGTGCTCTACATGAAAAATCAAATCATTTCACACCTGAATGCAGTGGAACACTTTTTATATTTTCAAGTTATCTATTGGCTGATGGAAATTTTTTCATATCTTTACTCAATAAATCATAGGACAAGATTAACACTGCTATTCATCTTAAAATTTAACTTCCTACTCCAATAGATGTTTTTGTTTCTATTCTTAGGTTATACAATAAAGGAAATCTGTACAAAATCATAAAAGAAGATTAGGTTTTCCTTTCAGTTTTTCTATAAAAAAATAATTGTTGTAAAATAAGTTTCATCTAGGAAACTCAGTCCTGAAGAGACTCAGGCAAAATTATGTGTAATTCAACCTTCTTTCTCTTTTGTAAGGAACATTATGTACTTGAAATCATCCCAGTACTCCCCAGTGTGGTCAAAAGAGGAAGAGCAACCATCTGACAGGAAATGCTCAAACAAGCCAAGTGCAACACTGCCCACTGTTTCCCCTTGGTGACATTAAATTAATAGTGCAGTGATTTTATGTGTGTGTCCATGGTACTGTTTACATAAACAAGGTAAACAGGAGAACTCTGCTCTTGCAATCTTCGTGGGGCACAGTTCAGATTAGGAAAGCTTTACCTAGTTCAATCTCACAGATGAAGAAAGAGGTACTCAGAGTTCTCTTTTCCTGTCTCTACACTCAGATCTTTTCTCCTAGAAGTGATGAACTCCTGAATTTAATTAATAAGCACTCATAGAGGATCAGCAAGAGATGAATAAGAGGCACCCTGCAACCCCTGGTCCCCCACATAGAAGAAGAACCAAAGTAACAGGTGTATAGCTGCATACTGAGCTGAGTGACCAGAGGAGATTATTGGAATTCAACAGTTGAAAAACAGAAACCTTATAAAATATATATATCTGAGATAGCAGCATAGCAAAAGAAGCAAAATATATCCCAGCACTTGTTGATCCCACTACACGGCCAAGGGAGGGGGAGTCTCCCCTCCATAGGGTAAATATGAAAGAGAGTTCCTACCAAACTCTATCAGGGTGATACTGGAAAATCCTAGCTACTGGAGAGTTTTATAACCCTTATGGGTTTATAGCCTGAATAGAAAAGAATCCTGAAATCTGCAAGGCAGCCAGGCTTTTGAAAAGGAATTCATTTTATCTACTAGTGAACACTTAGAGTGCCATAGCCAGGAGCCATCTAGAGACGGGACCTAGTGTCTGAATCTGGACACCTCCAGGGTCAGGAGCCACTCTATTTTCCATCTCTGGCGTGCCACAGACATTCCACTGCACTGGCTCCACAGGTAGATGCCTCACAAACCAAATTAGGCTCAACAGAATGACTCTGAACAAACCTACTGAAAGTACTACACTGGAGGGGGCAGGTGTTGCAACACTGATGGTCAAGTGAACTCTGCCCTCAAGAACCCAGGGATTAGGGAACCAGCCTTCTGAGACTGCAGATGTGGCTAGTCACATGTGGTTTCTTTTCCTAACAAACCTCTGGTTTCACTGCTCCCCTCCCACAGAGGCATGCTTGGGCAGTCTCAAGCAATACCACTGAGGCTCCAGCTCTTGTCCCATCCTCAGGGTACACAACATAGAAGATCTGGAGAAAAATTTTGCCTAGCATTAGCTGCGTTCAAATCTTACTTGACGCCTGTGAGCATCTCATCTGAGAGGAATTCTGTCCAGCTCCAGCCTTGACCTATCTCACTTGATCCCTGGTAGATACCATAGCTAAAAGCACTGGCATGGAGAGAAAAGGCTCCATCCCCAGGCATGCACAGAGGGGAAATCTGAGGTTCCACTCCTGAGCAAAATGCCCATAGTAGCATCAGAAAGGAACAATGTAACTTTTGTTGTCACAACACCTATGTAGGTCCCATGAACTGGTCGCCCTCTTGTTTGATCACACACTGCTCACAAGACTGGGTGTGAATATCACAGGGGGGTAGCTATGATTCCTGTCCCTACCTCACCCTGTACAGCATTTGAATCTGTATTAGTGTCTTACCAGAGGAAAAGTGTTCAGGCCCCTCACTATTATTGAAACAGTCAGTACTCCAGACCCTTTTAATCAACTCAGCCAATATCAACAGCCCCAGAAGAAATCCTCAGCAACTGATAGGGCCACCCAAACCACTACAGGAAGAACCACAAGGCAAACCCCACCCACTCTGCTATTGACATCTCGCTTGCTTGAATTGCTAGAGTGTCTCCATGCTTGTATGAGTGGTAAAGACAGTAAGTCTCTCTAACTCCAGTACAGTATGCACTATGCCTAAACTAACCAAACAAAGCTAAAGAAGCTCCAGGAAATTATACTATAATGGCCACCCAAAACCAAGTTCAATATTACATAATAAACCATTATCTCAAGAAGCATCTACAGAAGAAAACCACTTATTAAGAAGACCAACCCATTAAAGTTGTAGAGCTATAAGTTTCACTAGATGCATAAATCTCAACTTAGGGACACAGAAAATATGCAAAAACAAAGTTTATGATTCTTCCTAAATATCATAACTGTCTAGAAACAAATTTCAAAGATATCAAAGTGGATGAAATGACTGATAAGCAATTCAAAATGATGATTTTTAAAAGCTCAATGAGATCCAAGAGAATACAGATAAATAGTTAAATGGAATTAGGTAGACAAATTTGGTATATGAATGATAAATTCAACAAAGAGAGATATTTTGAAAAAGAAAGAATCAAATCTTGGAAATGAAGAGCTCAATAATAATTCAGATTAAAGATAAATTCAGGTAAGAGCTTGGTGGTACAGTGCCATAGCCAGGAGCCTGGCTGGTGGTACAGTTCAGTACGAAGGTTCAGAATGACAGCTCTTGCCTAGTGGGCACAAGACACTGGGTTCAAATCCTAGAACTAGAAAATAACAGTAGTAATAATAACAATTAAAAACAAAAAAATAAAAATTCAACTGAAAGCCTCAACTACAGACCAGATCAAGTATAGCTGAGGCTCCAGCTCTTGTCCCATCAATATTACATAATAAACCATTATCTCAAGAAGCATCTACAGAAGAAAACCACTTACTAAGAAGACCAACCCATAAAAGTTGTAGAGCAAAAGATAGGTCTTTTGAAATATCACATACAGACAGAAATAAGAAAAAAAATACATAAAAGAATAAACACAGCTTTCAAGATTTTGGGGACACCATCAAAAGATCAATACCTGGGTGCAGTAGCACATACCTATGATCCCAGTGACTCCGGAGGCTGAGGCAAGAGGATCACGAGTTCAAAGCCAGCCTCATCAAAAGTGAGGCTCTAAGCAACTCAGTGAGACCCTGTCTCTAAATAAAACACATAATAGGGCTGGGGTAGTTGAGTGCCCATGAGTTCAATCCCTGGAACCAAAAAACAAATAAATAAATAAGATCAACACCCCATATCATCGGCATAACCAAAGGGGGAAAACAAAGGCTAATGGCACTGAAAGTCTATTTAATGAAACAATAGAAAACTTCCCTGATTTAGAGAAATAGGTGGACATCCAGATAATGGAGGGTTTATAGAACCTCAAATAGACATGATCAGAAAAACATTCTCACCATGATGTACTCTACTCAAACTCTCACTGTCAAATGTGCAGAACAAAGAATTTTAAAATATGCAAGAGAAAATAACCAAGTCACATTTAAGTGCAATGCCACTAGCCTAACAACAGATTTCTTGGAAGAAGTTCTACAAACCAGGAAGGCATGAAATTATGTATTTCAAGCCCTATAAAATAAAACAAAACAAAACACAAGTGAGGCTATATACCCTATAAAGCTATCAATTAGAATGGAAGAAGAAATAAAGACCTCCCAAGATAAGTGAAAACTAAGGGAATTCATGACCATCAGACCATGAATCATCTCCAAAAAAAGGTGCTTAAGGGTGTCCTACACTTGAAAATAGAAGAAAAATACCATCATCATAGCATGTAACAGTATAAATCCCACTGGAGGAATAGATACATAAATGAGAAGTAGAAAATATTAAAATGTTATTGTTATGGTTTAAATATGAGGTATCCCCCCAAAGTTCCTATGTTAATGCAGGAATATGCAGAAGTAAAATTATTTAATTAACGAGAGATATAACCTAATCATTCCATCCTAATTAAATGGAATAACTGGGTGATAATGTAGACAGGTGGGACATGCTAGAGAAAGGAAGTGGGTCACTGGGAGCACCCTAGAAGGATTTACCTTCTGTTTGACCCTCTTCTTCCCACCTTTCTCTGCTTCCTGGCTGCCATGGTTGGAGTAGCACTCCTCCACCATGCCCTTCTCTCATGATATTCTGCCTTGGGCCCAAGCAATGGAGATTGCCCACCATGGACTAAAACTCTCACATATGAGCTAAAATAAACTTTTCCTCATCTAAGTTGTCCTTTTCATGTATTTTAGCCTCAGAAACAAAAAGCTGATTAACAAAGTTATCAATATAGTAAACTATCAAATCACAAAGAGGAAAGAGAGGAAGAAACAAATATTCCATCA